TATAATACTTCCAGTAAAAAATGATCATGCAATTAACAATTTGATAGATAAAGATCTATGATAAAAAATACATCTTTTTATACTGTTATAAAAATTTTCCTAAAATTCGAAGTTCAACAAGTAAAATTAACTAATATATCAATGAATTCGTGAGATAATCTTTACTTACCATACTGCTTATAATATAAGAACAAGATTTTTTCAGTTTTTTTCTATACTGCTGAACATCTAACTTAAATCTAAATGGCGATTTGAGTAACAAATAAACCAGGTATTTTTTCAAGTTGCAGAATTCTTTGTGAGTGCCATGCAGAAGAGCGTAAGATTCTGAACACAATATGGAGTTGGCGAATTTTCTACGAACTTCTATTAAAAAAATAGAGACTTCATAACATTCAAATAAAAAACAAAATTTTAGTCGACTTTTTGTGACATCTCTACTTTTTTTAAAAGAAGGTCATAGAAAACACGTCGAACACTCATTTTGTTCATAACTTTGCCCTCTTTCGATTAACAATCTTAAAAACTAGTTTTTACACAACATTCTTGGTCCTACAAAAATACCACGCTTAGCGTTTTTTAGAAACTTTAATCGCATAGTCCATCTATGGATTGTTCATATACAATACGTCTGATAGATAACTTCTTTGGCTAATTAATTTGAGTTAATGTTATAGTATGATTAACTTAATATTTCTTTCTTTCCTCTGTTCTACTATCGTAATGTTGATACGTACCAACTTCATATTCAGATATTTTCCAAAACAATCTCTCCTTTTAATATTGTTAACGTATTTTTCCTCTTGTTCATGCTGTTTTTACCAACTACTTTTATTTTTTTCTAGTTTGTTCATAAATCGATAGTGACTGTTTTGAAATAAAAAAAGAGAATCATTCATTATCGATATGCATCAGACTATTATATTCAATGAAAATCTGTTATGGTACACTTAATATATTTTATTGACTCACATTGATACTATTAAAATACAATCAAATAATTATTTAGCATTGTTATATAACATGTAAAGAAGATTAACTATGAAATTAATTAATAATATCTGCATGTAATAAATATTTAATCAGTGTACAAAACTTATAAGCCAATTAATATAAGCTACGATTGATTCTGGTCAATCTAAAATTCCAAACTTTTGCTTGCACCACCAATCAATTCTTAGTCGGTAGTGTCTGAGGAAAACATTTGAGTGTGATATCTCATCCATTTCTTCTTTGAAAAATCCTAACATCTCGGTAGGATATTCTTCAATAAGACTAAAAATTTGAATTTATACCTAAAACAATAAGTTCCATAAAATGAAGTAAGTTTCATGCTAATCAATATTTCTGACTGAAAATTCTTCTATGGTAATAGATGATCGCAGCTCACATAGAATCTGTTGTCCTACGAAGTTTTCTGTTCACTGATATAGAAGGCAAGATAAAAAAAAAACTTATGAACATAAATAGTGAAAAGTGTAACAATAATAAAACAAAATTCTTATGTCATTACTGTAGTGATTAAGAGACAGATATGATTGATCGAGAATTTTATTTGACTGTTATAGAATGAGAAAAGTGAAAAATGACTTATGTTAATATACCAATCATTACAGATAAAAGAAAAACTCTACTTTTCGAAAAAAATATAAAAATCTTAAGTAATATTTATTTTTACTTTTGTTTTTTTTTTTCGTTTAAAAGTAATAATGTCCTGGAAAGTAGTACTATCACAAAAATTAGACAAATTACTTATAATTTCTAAATTGATATTCTTTTATTTTGTATTCAATTCAAGGGCTTTCGTTCTTCTACCAGAAATTTTCTCTATTATTTTTTGTTTTTATTTTTCTCCAATAAAGTATATCGTTAATAATATATTGCAAATCAAACTTGTATTTCATAATCAGATAGTTAAGCATAGTACTCCAGATTTATCTTATATTCTATTCATATTGTAAGTTTTTTTCTTATGTATTTTTTTTGCCTCGAGTAAGAAGCTAATTATAACATATAAAAAGAACATTTCAATTAATCTAACTATCTATTAAATTAAATCTTTTTGATAAATGATTATAATAAAATAATCTTTTTTCGAAATAAAAATAAACTATTATTTATCATTTCTCTATAGTTTTTTTTTGATCGAAATAATTATTCAAACAGTAACACTTGAACAATGACAAGTGTACAATAACATTAGATTGTTTATTCATCAATATTATGGTATTACTTAACTAAAGTTCATTGGTCTCGTCTATGTAATCGATGTAAAGAAAAAAAAAAAGAATTCTAATCTATTATTTTAACATTATTTCTATTTAGAGATTGGTCATTTCATCCTATAAAACAGACAATATATACATGAAGTGTATAGATCATTAAAAAAGCATATTCATGAACAGAAGAAAAAAAAAAAAAGAGAAGAACGAGAGCAACCATATTGCTTTTTTTCTCTCTTCGATTAGAAACAAGAAGAGAACAAGTCAAATAAGTAGAAAAGAGAAGAGAAAAAAAAATTTTGTTTTTTCTTGCCTTCTATTCAATGTTGATTCGATATTATAAGTTAAAGTGATGGATCTTGAACTTCGTTGTCCATCATGTAAAGAATATTATCAATTACCTATCTATTTACCATGTTCACATTCAATTTGTTATACATGTGCATTAACTTCAATTCGATCAATAAATATAATTGAAGAAAATAATTCTTCATCAAATAATTCATTTGCTTCTGATCTTGATAAACTTTCTTTAACAAGTGATAATGATTCAGGTATATCAACAACTAGTCGTTCGTCTAGTTTATTTTTACCACCAGCTTTACCTGAAATATCATGTTTATCAATAATTTCTAATCATAAAAAAATTTATTCAACTTATTTACAATGTTCTGTATGTTTAAAAATTATTTATATGGATATAACAGGTATAAAAAGTTTACCAAAAAATTATCTTCTTATTGATATTATTAATCGTTATCATAAAGAAAAATTTTTGGAACAAAAAATTTTCAAATGTCAATTATGTCCATTATCAAAACAACAATCAATTACATATATCTGTGAACAATGTCAAATTGGATATTGTAATCAATGTCGAGAACAATATCATCCAATGCGAGGACCATATTCTAAACATATTTTTATTAATGCAATAGAACAATTATCTAATCATAATGAAAAAATTTTTTGTCATGATCATTTAGATCGTTTAGCTAATTTTTATTGTCTTCATTGTCAATTAGAATGTTGTCAACAATGTTCTAGACATACAAATCATCAGATTATATCGATTCATCAAGCAACTAAAATGTTTAAGGTAAATTTATTAGATTATTATTGACCTGTGTTTTGTTTAAATTTTCAATTCCGGAAGAACGAACATATACTTTCTGGAGGGTCAAAATATTATTTATGGCACAATAGTTTTGAATTCTGAGAGAGCGAACTCGATCTCAGAAAGGATGTTATCCTCACGTGGAATAAAACACTAATTATTGGTTATCTTTTTTTTTTTTTGTTTTATATAATATTCCAATTAGTTGATTATGTTGCCTCTCTTCTGTGTATCTGTTGTTATTCAAGCAAAAAGACAATCATGTTATTTGATACCATTATCTAAATGTTCATGTACACGTGCTATAACTGAATATTTCTCATTGTTTTTAGATTTAGTATATAATGATAGATTTATATAAACAAAAAACATACATTTGCTGAATATTTCACTTGTTATATAATCTGACCATTGTCCCATTAAATTGAGAAGAGTTTTTTTTTATGCATGTATTAGCTAAAACTATTATTATCATAATATGAGATGAAGTGTCGTTTTAAACTTCCGATTCAATGATAGTATCTTGTTCTGCTTGTCTTCCTAAGTAACATTAATATGTAAATAGAAGAAAGTATGATGATGTAATTCTTTTCGTCATCCATGAAGGAAATATGAATACATAAATCACTCTCGATATTTTAGATTTAATGATACACATGATCGCTTCTTGTATAGGTTTTTTATGTTTTTTCTATAATTACTATCGAATAATCTTTTATCTAGACGCAATTGTCATCACAATTACATGATTTATCAGAAAAAGCAAAATATAGTGCAGATTTTCTTACTAAATTAAAATTATATCCAGAATATATAAAAGTAATTTTTTTTTTATTTGAAATCAATGAATAATTATTATTTGAGAAATATATTTTTTTATTTCTAGAAAAATGCTGAAATATTTCAAACAAATATTATCAAAGAAATTGATAATCTTATATTAAAATTAGAAACTAAAAAACAAGAATTATTAACATATATTAATGATGAAATTGAAAGAAAAATTTCATTAATACATCGACAATATTCATCTTATAATGAACATATACAACGAACAACAGGATTTTTACAATTTTCAATTGAAGCATTAAAACAATCAGATCCATATATTTATCTTCAAGTTGATTTTTTTTTCTTTTTTATTTAAATGTTTTGTTTAATATTGTTTCAAAGATTTCTTTTAGGTATGTCATGGTTTGAATAGTAAATGTTCATATTTACAAGAAAGTTTCTCTGATGAATATGAATGTAAATCACATACATCATATGAAATTGATTTTACATTCAATACTGAATATCTTTATCGAGATATTCATCGTTTACAATTTCAACAAATTAAACGTAAGAATAAACATTGACTAAATTGTTCTAGAATGAATTTAAAACAAGCTTTTGTTTCATATGAAAACGTATTATTTATGTTTACCCAGACACTATATTCATATAAACACTATGATTTTGCATATAAATATTAAGTTACAGTAGACGTCTTTGCGTTGTATTAGTGTTCGTATAATGATTTCTTTTCTTTTTTATCCTTTATAATAAACTGTTCAGATACATTTGTTAACATTCTCATATTTAACCTTGCTCAAATTACATCATAAAAATAGTTAATAGATTTTTCTTTCGTATTTAAAGAAAAATGAGCTTGATTAATAATGATAATCTTCATTCTTATTTAGTACCATCATCACCACGTTTTATAGCTGAACAATGTGTATGTCATGATAATGAATCTGGAACTAGTTCTGGTATGCTTGCTTGGTCAATACATGATATTGGAGCTATTCAAGGTTTTATCCTTGAATTAGATAATGGAACAATTGGTTCAGAATTTCGAGTAAGTACAAAAAAAAAAAAACCATTAAACGAAATTTTCTTTTAAATAAACATATACATTCAGCAAGTATATGATGGTAATGAAACAATGTGTGCTATTGATGGGCTTCTTCCATCATGTGTTTATACAGCAAGAATAAAAGCTTATAATCAAGCAGGTGAAAGTGCCTATAGTGAATGTATAACACTTCATTCATCTTCCGGTATGTAAACAGATAAATTAAACAATATATCAAATATAAAATATTTTTGTTTATTTAGTTGATTGGTTTACATTTAATCCTCGTACAACACATCCAGATATAAAATTTTTATCAAATGATTTTCATTCAATAACATGTCTTAGTTTACAAGAACGAGTAGCACTTGGTTCACGAGGTTTTCGTCAAGGTATTCATTATTGGGAAATAACTATTCAACATTATGATGATAAATCTGATCCAGCATTTGGTATAGCACGTTTTGATGTATCAAAAGAAAATATGCTTGGTATAGATTAAATTTATCAATTGTTATTTGAAAATTTTTCATGATATTTTTTTTTTTCATTTAATTTAGGTAAAGATTCAAAATCTTGGTGTATGTATATAGATAGTCAACGTTCATGGTTTATGCATAATGGACAACATACCAATCGTATTAATGGTGGAATATCTATGGGTTCTATAATTGGTATTTTATTAGATTTAAATAATGGTACATTAAGTTTTTATATCAATGATCAACCACATGGACCAATTGCATTTTCAAATTTAATACAAGGCGATGTTTATTATCCAGCTGTTAGTTTAAATAAAAATATACAATTAACACTTGTTTCTGGACTTGATCTACCTTGAATTATTTTAAGGAAATTTTTTTATTTATTGTTCTTGTGTCTTGTGTTTATTGTTCGTTTTTTTCTTTTTGTTCTTTAACTTATATAAAATAAATGTTTCTTATCATAGATATTGTAAAATAAAATAAAAAAAAGTAAGAATGTCTATTTAACAATTTATATGAAAAGAAAATAATGATGTATTCAGAAATTTAAAGAACAATTCAATTGTTGTTAATGTCAAGTTCAATTCTATTTGTCACATTATGAAGAAAATAAATTTTCTTATTTGTTTAACGGCTACTCTGCAATTGATCAGATTCTTTGTTTGTTTTTTTTTTAATTATATTCTAATACATTCAATTCTGTTTTCATTTTAATCATAGAATGCATGAGAAGTAATGATTATTTATGATGATTGACGACTCGTGACCTTACACACATATATATACTCTTAACGTCAAAAACAATGCTTTTGTTACAAATGATTTTTTTTTCTTTTTATCTCAAGAGTTCAATAAATGGTGATAGCAGCATGTGTGTTAGCATCAGCAAATTTTGAGCAGTCAGTTAATGATGACAGATCCACTCTAATCAACTGCCGCTATACACTCTAGTGATACATCGATCAAGGACTGACATATATGAGTGTGTACACGTGTGAATGCATGCATGCATGCGTGCATGCAAGATATTGAATTGAAGTGATCATCAAGCAATCAGCTGCACTTATCATCTGTTCATCTTTTTCTTTTGTCTTTTAATTATTTTAAGACAAAAAAAAAAAAGGTGTTATTGTGTTAATAGCATGGATCAAGTTTCATGGATATATGGGTCTTGTTACCGATTGAATGTCTATTAGACAAAGTTGCATAGTTTATTTTATAAAAAGCAATTTTGAGTAGTTGCTCTTTTTTTTTTTTTTTGATATAGTCACAATGTTCTTGTTTGATTGCTTTTGTACTTTCGATCGAATATGAAATTAATCTGTTTTTAAGGAATGAAAAAATTCTTTGATGTTGTCAGAAGTAAATAGTGGTAGCCACTCAAATAAATTATTAGATAAGAAAAATTCATGTTTGTTATTTGAGATAGTTGTTCGAACAAACAAAACTTATAAATAAAATTTATTTATAGACAATAGAAGCCAATCAATGTTGACAACTTTGACAAATGAATATTAATTGATACAAAAAAAAAATGTTTTTTGTTTTTCCAATAGACAATACAGTTTCTATACGGTATGTGGTATTGAATACTTTTGAAGGATATAAAAAAGATTGAAAAGTCATTAATTAATGATATAATCTATTATGAAGGAATTGAATAAATGTTTAGACATACATATCTAATATTATAGGAAGTATTTATAAAATTTATTCTTCATAATTGACCAAACACTCACGTTAGTCTGAAAATAATGATAGTTCTTGAATCAATGTGCTGAAAAACTATGATTTTGATTTTTCTGGAGATCTCATATGTTACAATTCGTTAACCATTTTTATTATGATATATTCTTGTTGTGAATAAGTTTTTGTATTCAAAGGACTATATTTACATTCGTTTTGATGTCTTAGGCAGCAGAAAAACATTGAAAATAAATCTTATTGAATATTATCGTAGTCACTATATAATAGAATCAAAGATATTGTTTTTATATTTATAATGTTGAAGATTATGCACTGATAGTTACTGTGGTGGTGGTAGCGACCTCTTTCAGTTCCAATATATAGTGTCTCTAGGAATCAGATCTTTTTGCATCATCCATCGTTTTATTGTTTATAAATGCATGTATATTATGCATACCTAAAAGAGTTATAAATAAAGCCAATATATTGCTATTGTTTTTATTTATGATAATGACTCAACTATTAATTTGTTGTGTTCTATTGAAAACTTCATTTTGTGCTTTTTTCTTTCTCTTTCTTTCATACCCTCAAGCAAAGTGCAAAAATTCGGTTGTTTATTTCTAACAACATGACTCAATGTTTTCATAGAAAATATCTACGAGAATAAAAGCAGTCTGCAGTCTATTTAATAAATCTTATTTTCTTTCTACGATTTCGTTATTGCACTAGAAAAGTTTGCGTGACATATTTATTAATAGACACATGTGTAGTTAAATAAAGGTGTAAATCTCAACGTTGTAGATTTCAAAAGAAAAACGAAACAATGCCAATGACGAACAGGGTTTCTTCGTCATTTATTACATTATCCGTCGAAAATGTTTGCCGTATTCTTGATTATCTCGATGAATTAACAATTTTTTTATCATTGAGAAATATTTGCATGCAACTCGATGCAATCCTAGATACTTACGAACGATGTCAGGTAAACTTTTGTCGTCTGCTACTTATTTCTAAACTTTTAATCAATTAATAAGTGAAGCATTTTATAGCCAACTACTTAAACAGACTAAAATAGTGAAGACTAAAAGTTCTAATTATTGAGATTTGTGAATGATGAAGATGACGAATAATTTCGAACTTATACACCTTTTCAAAAGGTGGCATACGTGACAAAAAAGAAAACATGAATACTGATTTCTTTTT